TATAACTTTTCTTTATATCTACATGGAGAAAAAAATAAAAAGAAAAAAAAAAAAAAAAAAATAAGAAGAAGAAGAAAAGAAAAGAAAGCGTAAAAATATTTTTCATTTCCCCATAAATTTCTTACGAAATAATTGTTAAACATCGTCGAAAAATATAAATGCGTAATCAATAAAAAAAAAAAAAAAAAAAAAAAAAAAAAAAAAATTATAAATCCAAAGCTATCCTTTGACGTGCTCTTTACTCCATTTCAAAATTCAAACGTGTATGTATAATTGTAATGGTGCACTTGCACAAATGCATAAAATACGTAACGAAACGAAACGAAACGAATTCAAACGAAATGAAAAGAAAAAGGAAAGAAAGAATTGAAGAGACAAAGGGCCTAAAGAAAAATCATAGATGAGTAATTTAGATAATTATTTATTCGAGGACGTATTTGAAAGAAGAACGGAGAAACGAGGGAAATAGGCAGAGAGAACATGTTCGACCTTCGTTTTAATTAACCATTATCGTTAATTAAAAAAGAAAGAGAGAAAAAAAAAAAAAAAAAAAAGAAAAGGAAAAGAAAGAAAGAGAAAGAAAAATATAGGAATAAAAAAGAAAAACAATAATAATAATAATAATAATAATAATAATAATAATAATAATAATAATAATAATAATGATTAAAAGAATGTTCGCGTTTGTCGGGAAAGAAGAATTTGAATGTTCTTCTTCTATCTTTTTTATTTTCTTTCTCATTTTTTCCTTTTATTTTTTCTTCTTCTTCTTTCTTTTTCTTTTCTTTTTTTTTTTCTTTCGTCTCTTTTTAGATTCTTTTTAGATTTAGATTTAGATTTAGATTCTTTTTTAGATTTTTCGTTACCGTGAAAAGATAAAAGTCGATTTCACTTGCATGTGCAAAGAGTTTCTTTCCTATGGTGTGCCAATAAGTAAATATTTAACCTGGTTGCTTTTATTTTTCTTATTCGATTTTTATCCTTCTCTCTCTCTCTCTCTCTCTCTCTCTCTCTCTTTCTCACTATCACTTTCTGTCTCTTTGTCTCTCTCTTTCTCTCTCTTTCTCTCTTTTTCACTATTACTTTCTGTCTCTTTGTCTCTCTCCGTCTCTCTCCGTCGCTCTCTCTCTCTCTCTCTCTCTCTCTCTCTCTCTCTTTCTTTCTCGACCTCGCTGAATGAACGACGCAATGTGTTTGGTCTCATGTCGAAACGTTTTAAAAACGGATAATCTTACTTAATCCTGATGCCACTTGAGTTTAATTAAAACCTGACTTTATTGAAACGATAACTATTCTTATTAAATCGATATAATTATTACGAGTGAGAAATTACATGAGTGAATTATTTAGATCATGATCAATCCATTAGAACGATAAATACAAATTGATTTTTTAATGAAATAATCCTTTTTCTTTTTTTTTTTTCTTTTTTTTTTTTATCGGAAATAGATGTTTCCTTTTTCTTCTTTTTTCTTCAATTTACAATTACATAAGAAAATATTTGCTTACATATAAAAATTATATTTTTCTCATGTAAATGCCGCTATATGAAAAATAATTCATGTTAATTGTCGAATTTAATAATTACACGTATTATATATATATATATATATATATATATATGCATAGAAAAATAATCAACGATATATTAATTGTCAAATATAAGAACTATTTATATGTAAATATGAAAAAATTAATTTATGAATCGAGAGTGAATATATTTTATTTCACTTTTTTCTTTTTTCTTTTTTCTTTATTTTTCTTTTCTTGTTTTTTTTTTTTTTTTTGTTTTTCCGTAACTTTTCGTGATCATTGTCGATGCAATGCGATTAAAATGAATTTTATAGAGTCACCCGTTATATATTGTTAGCCAGGAGCAAACAACTGGCTTCACGACTAGGCGTGGTATCTCTGCCAACCTGCGAGCTCCTTTATTTCTTTCTATTATATTTCTTTCTTTCTTTCTTTCGTTTCTATCATTCCCTCATTCTATTTCTTCCACCTCTTTCTATATTTCTTAGAACGTAGGCAGGTAAGTAAGTACTACATAATTCTATCTCTTTAGCTGGCTAATGATAAGTTGCTATGTTGCTAATGATATCGAACAAACATACTTATTCTTAACATTACGATGGGATAGACTTAGCTTTTCGATGTATTTAAAAAAAAAAAAAAAA